TATACCATGTATATACCACGTGCATGTTGTGTGATTGCTATAATATATCACTTCATTTCTCCTCTCTCTCTCATTCACTGCAGTACCTCCTCCATCAGTATCAATAGCTAATGATAGTGTCACTATAACTTATGGTATGAACCTTACTCTGAATTGTACTGTCTCTTCAGTATTCCTACCTCTCACTGTTGAATGGAGATTCGGACAAACTGTTATTAAAGCTATGAACTATACTTTAGCTCCTACTGGTCCTCTACAAGTATCTGTTACTAGTGTTACTGGGTCTAATGCTGGAGTATATACTTGTGTTGCTACTTATGATCATGGAGCTGATAGTGATAATGTCAGTGTCATTGTTTATAGTAAGTACTAAGAAAGAGGTTTTTTAAACAAAAATGGTTTTCAGCCCAATTTAATGTTGTATGCAAATTTCTAAATGTTGATTGCACATTATTAATAGTTTCGGCTTAAGTATTAGTACTTGTGGAGTTACAGTTATGTAAGAGTCTTTTTTTCTTGTTTCTAGTTCCTCCTCCAAGTGGCCTCACCATTACTCCTCCCTCTCTCTCTGTTAATCACAGTGACACTGCTACCTTCACTTGTATAGTTACATCACTAACTACTCCTAATATAACATGGACTACTACTGCTACTACTGGTATAACCAGTCAACCTGCTGTACTTGCCTCTTCTCAAGGCAGTGATATGTATACTAGTAGTTTAGTATTGACTGGAGTTACATTAGACAGTATTGGATCATATACATGTATTGCTACTAATGAAGGAGGGAGTATTAATACTACTGCTATGCTTAATGTTACTGGTAAGAATTTTTGACTATACCATGTCCTTAAAAAATATCCTAAATCCTCTCTCCTTACAGTTCCTGCTCCTAATGATATTTCAATATCTCCTCCTAGTCCTTCAGTAGTATACAATAATAGTATTACCATCACATGTCAAGTTAGATCACTAACTACTCCTAATATAACATGGACTACTACTGCTACTGCTGGTATACCCAGCCAGCCTCCTTTGATATCACAAGGTGACATTCATACAAGGGATTTAGTATTGACTGGAGTTACATTAGACAGTATTGGATCATATACATGTACTGCTACTAATGAAGGAGGGAGTATTGATACTACTGCTATGCTTAATGTTACTGGTAAGAAGCACTTTAAACTTTGAGTATTTTAATATCAATGTTTTTTTCCAATCACAGTACCTCCTCCATCAGTTTCAATACCTGATGATAGTGTCAATATAACTTATGGTATGGACCTTACACTGGACTGTACTGTCTCTTCATTATTCCTACTTCTCACTGTTCAATGGAGATTTGGACAAACTATTATTGAAACTATGAACTATACTTCAGCTCCTACTGGTCCTCTACAAGTATCTATTACTAGTGTTACTGGGTCTAATGCTGGAGTATATACTTGTGTTGCTACTCATGATCATGGAGCTGGTAGTGATACTGTCAGTGTCATTGTTTATGGTAAGTACTAAGAGAAGAAACAAGAAAATGGTTTTTAGCCCAATTTAATGCTGTGTGCAAATTTTAACAAATCTCTAAGCGTTGAATTAAAGCAATACATGTACATGTGTCATTAATAGTTTCAGCTATAATTAAAAGGAAAAATGACATACCTACATGTACATCGAATGCTTAAATATTAGTACTTGTGAACTTTGTACTACATATGCATGTAAGTGTGAATTTTATTATATTTTTCTTAATTTCTAGTTCCTCCTCCAAGTGGCCTCACCATTACTCCTACCTCTCTCTCTGTTAATCACAGTGACACTGCTACCTTCACTTGTACAGTTACATCACTAACTACTCCTAACATAACATGGACTGGTCCTGCTGGTATAACCAGTCAACCTGCTGTGATGTCTCAAGGCAGTGATATGTATACTAGTAGTTTAGTATTGACTGGAGTTACATTAGACAGTATTGGATCATATACATGTACTGCTACTAATGAAGGAGGGAGTATTAATACTACTGCTATGCTTGATGTCACTGGTAAGTAAATTGTTAGATTTGTTTTTGAAATTCCCCTACCATTAATTGTAGTTATTGTGCTAACACTATAACTAATGCATAATGATATTAATGAATCTTAGTTTGTTCATAATATTTATCGTCCAATGTTTATAGCATATTTGTTATTGTAAAAGTATCATTTTGGCTGTTATGATTCTTTCATTTTTTATTTTATTCTTAGTACCTACAACAGGAGTGTCCTTAACTGCTGACACACTTGAGATCTACTACAATACGACTCTTGAATTAAACTGTACAGTATTTTCAGTTACTCCTCCTACCATCAATTGGACCACTACAGCTAACATCACCATACCTAGCGAGAGCATTGTAACAATGAACACTGGCAACATGTACAAGAGTGACCTCACTATTGATAATGTTGATCTCAGTTATACTGGCCTGTATACTTGCTCCTCTACTAATCAAGGAGGCACTGAGAGTGATGTTTCAAATGTCACTGTTATTTGTAAGTGTCTTCATCATCTCTTTGTATGTTGCATATATCTCTTACTCTTCTTCCACTCTTTATAGTACCAGTTCCTACTGTATCCATACCATCATCACCTATGAAATATGCAACATATGATGATCGTCTCTCCATCATGTGTAACGTCACTTCACTAATGAGACCCTCCAGTATAGTTTGGTATCATAATGACACTTTGATATCAAGTGGAGCTCAACCTAACTTCACAGCCACTGGTGCTCCTAATACATATACTAGTGTATTGGTTAGGGATAATGTGGTCCTTAGAGATAATGGAGTATATCGCTGCCAGGCTGAGAATATGGCTGGTATTGGTGCCGCTAACATTACTATTAGTGTCTTGGGTAAGTACATGTACATGTATTGTGTTGTTGTTATTGTTTACACTTTATAGTGATTTGTTGTTGTGGCTATTTATTGTTATGTTAATTTTTGCTGTTATATTAATGCTGAGTATTTTTGTATATGCATTTATTTTGATAATTTATAGATGTCTTTTTTTCACACTCTCTCTCTCTCTCTTCTTATACACATACATGTACATGTAAATGTACCTCAAACTCCTTTTTTATTATTCAATCTATTGTTCTCTCCTCTCCCTCTCTCTTTCCTCCAGTCCCCCCACCAGTTATACTTAATCTTAATGATCTCAATGCCACCATTGGTCTCAATATTACACTCAACTGTACAGCATCTGGTTTTGGTCTTACATATGAATGGGAGCACGTTCCTTGTGGCCCTGGTTGTATAACTGATGGATTTGATACTCCAATATTATCCCTGGGGCCTGTTGTTAATGGATCTGCTGGGGAATATGTTTGCAATGTCACTGATTTTATAGGACAGACGGTGTCAAAGATCATTACTATCACACCATTGGGTGAGTATTGGAATTCATATTCATTGTATAACGTGTACATGTACTGTGGGTTTAGATTTAATGGCAACTACACTACGTGAACTAAAAATACATGTAGCATGTTAGTGTATGCAGCATGGAAATTGTTGGATGTTTTTCATAATGTGCATATGCATGTACTGTACATGTACCGGTACTTTTTGTGTACAAACATGTATGCATCCTTTTTTAATTTTATGATTTTCATCCCACCTCTCTCTCTCTCTCAGGTCCTACTTTATTATCATCTAATGTGTCAAATTGTCGTGTTTTTGGGAGCTCCAGTTGTACAAAGAACTGTGATGCCACTCCAATACAAGTGATTAATGGAACCAATGAGTTCCTACAGTGTTCATTCCAGAACAGACCTGATGCTCCATATAACCTCACCGTTGGCTGGTTTATAAGTGGACAAAGGTTTGGATCCCCTCGGGCGAATAATGCTAGTACCTTTGTAGCTACCACTCTCGAGGATGAAAACAGGATTGTCACAACAATGATATCTTTTAATCCGGTGGATTATTTAAACTTTATCTCAGAAGACATATCAAGCTTTGAGCATGCCTATACCTGTACAGCTTATATCGGGGACTTCTTTAATGAACAAGTAACGAGTAATGGGACTTGCCTTGAAGGATTATGTAAGTATTTGAGAAGAAAGAGAGAGAGAGGGAGAGATTGGAGGAAAAGATAGAAAAATAAAGTAGAGAAAGCATTATGTATACAAAGTTTATGCATGTATATTCTGTTGTATTTTATTTTTTTTCTAGTTGGGCCTGTTCTTAGAACAGGGCCTGAAGAGAACTCTACAGCAATTCTTGGGGACAAGTTTATGTTTAAATGTGATCCTGATTATTCTAACCCAAGACCTCATTTACAAATTAGCAAGACACTAACGAATGGAACTGAACTCAATCTGTATACTGGTCAATCTAAGTTGCATTCTATTGTGAATGTTACCTTTGATGATGCTGGTAGTTACAGATGTGTATTGACTAATGATTATGGAAGGACTGAAAGCAACTTTCAACTGATAATACAAAGTATGTGTGTGTAATGTAGTAATACAGTAAATATAAGTACATGCATGTACATGTAATTGTATGTACATGTATATGTACAATCTATGTAGTGACAGTTTTTATTTAGACATTTAATTTTGACTGAAAGCATTAACTTAGAACGTGTTAATTCACAATATAAATGCTTCTTTAAAGTACATGTACATAAGTATTATTGCTATGTTGACATTCCATTACCACACATTAACTATTTCAGTGGTGTGTTTTATGTGTGAGTCTGTGTGAAGGTGATTAATGGTCTGCCCACTCATCACTCTAGTATTGGGGATATTTTGTCTCCATTTATGCTCACGCATGTAGCGCCACATGTACATGTACATGTGTATCATATTTAAGCTCAATGCATGTGAACTCTTTCTTTTCCTTTGCTCCTTTTTAATGTTCTTACTTCTCTCTTCCTCCTTCCTCTCTCTCTCTCCCTCCACCCTCTCTCTCTCTCTGTTTTTCTCTCTCCCTCTCTCTCTCCAGGTGTTCCTGATCAAGTTACTGGTGTGACTGTTACTTATTTGTCTTTTTTTGAAATTGAATTCAAATGGAATGTCCCTAGTTCTAATTTTGGTCGTGATCAGCGCTATAATGTTGAATACAGATTAGATCTTGCTGAAGCTAGCTCTTCTAATATAACAGGACTTACTAATCCCAGCTATCTTCTAATTGATTTTGACTTAAATCGTAATTATACTGTCGTTGTATCCAGTAATAATGAAGTTGGTAGAGGGCCTTCCTCAGATGTTGTTACTTTTCCTAGTATCAGCTCAGGTGGGTCTTAATTTGTACCTCTCTCTCCCTCCCTCCCTTTATTTCTCCTCATCATATGTACATGAACATATATCCTTATTATACTCATTCATGCATGTATAATCAATTTTCACATGCACATGCATACATGTACATGTACCAGAAAATGTTTATTGTCCTTTTAAAGATATATTTTAATTTATTTTAGGTATGGCTAGTTTGCTTCGTGTCCGTACTCCATCAATATTCATCACTTCTACTCAGATACAAATATTGTGGGAGCTCCCTCCTCTCTTTAGACCAACTGGGCGGAGACCAGCTGAGATAGGCCGATATGTACTGAATTACAGAGCTAATGGAAAAGATACCCCTGTATCTGTCAGTAACAACTCATTGAAACATACAATGGAGTCTTTGGTCCCTAATACTGAGTACATTATTAATATTAATGTGGAGTATAGTGAGCCTCAAGGTTTTAAAGGGAATACTGTTAGTATCACTGCAAAGACTAAACCTGCAGGTAAGATGTATTGTGTAATGTATATTGGATTTTTTATAAATTTTTAAATTACTATAACATAGAAGTTTTGCATATAAAGTTTAATTTTACGATTCAAATGTAAAAAATGCAAAATTTAAACTCCCAAATATTAACTTGAATCTAAATCCAACATGTTTTTAGTAACAATTCCGTTACTCCTCACATATAGATAATCTTCCTGAAGTTTCAACTAACCTCAGCTCATCGAACATCAACGACACAACAAACCCGTCCATCCAAGTCAAATGGGAGCCTCTTTCCCCCGAAGATGGTTCCGAATTCTTACAACGTTACGTCGTGCGTGTCAATGTCACTGACCTTGCCGCCAGTAGAGGCTCAAGAAGACGTCGTCAGGCGAATCCAGTCATGACTACTCTAGAGTATAATGTTAGTAATGCAGAGAGCCAGTTTGATTTTACTGACATTAAGCCATTCATGTCTTACTCCATTGGAGTTAATGCTGCTCTCCTGGTTGATGGGCTGGAGAGAGAAGTCCCCATTACTAGACCAACTAGTGTGGACTCACCTGAATCCAGTTAGTGTTACATGTACATGCACATGTGTGTTTATTAGCAGTTAAACAATTCTTTTTCAAATGTACTATATAGTCTACCAAAAATGATTATGAATTTTTCCAATTATGTTTTCATTCATGTACATGTACATGCATAATAATTCAATATCATTTCATTTAACACAGTTCCTGGTGTGATATCTGATCTGATGCATGTAAGGACACCAACTAGAATCACTATCTCATGGAATCCTCCTACAATACCTAATGGTATCATTACAGTATATGAGATAAGATATAGAGAGTCTACCAGTACTGGTCCATATAATATAACTAACACTACTAACACTTATTACAGTATAGTAGGATTGATACCTAATACTAGTTATACTATTGGAGTGAGAGCATATACTAGTATTGGACCAGGAGAATGGACTGATAGAGAATTTAATACTGCTCAAATATGTAAGAAATTACTTTTATCATTGATAGTTTTTAATTTTTCCATTGATTAATCCTATAACAGTAATTTATTGATGCTATAACTATATTGTTGATTCAAATTATAGTTTCTTATTCAACTGACACTACTGTTGTACCAACTACATGTATAATAGTGAATAATGGAGGAAATATTACTGGATGGATAGTTGTTGTGACGATATTAATATTACTATTGGCTGTATCTATAATTATTATACTGATATTGCTTATGTACATAAAAAGAAATACTCTTAATCAGAAGAGGTATGTAATTGTACACATTTATTGTTTAAAATTTGTGGTTCATAGAAAATCAGATGATGATATTGTAATGGAGTGCAGTCCAGCTTATGCTACAACTGAATTTAAAACAAAGTTAGTTACACTATTGACTAGTACATTATGTCTATACACATGCAGTACTACTGATGATGCATCAGTGAAGGATGGTCCAACATATGATACAGTACAACAAAGTGAACAAACACAGTCAGTTATATAAATACAATTATTATTATTATTTAAAGTTATTATTAATAGATTGACTGTTGAGCCAGTGTATGATACAACTAATGATGAATATGAGACTTCTCTCCCCCCACCTTCTACTGAATATGAAATACCAACTGTGACTGATTTATAACTTAATCAACTCTTTGCTAATGTACAAATTATCTTGACTAGGTCGGTGTACTATTTTAGTTACATTATTTTCTCAATATGTGTGAATGCCTGTATTATTAATTTATAGTACTTGTTAGTTTTTACTGTGTAGTTTGCTAATGAACATAAAGTTAAATTTTTATATTAGTAAGGGTAGATCTCTTGATAGTAGGCACATTGCATTTACACAAGATTAGGATGTGTTTAGCTTGCACTAGCTCTGGACTCTTCCTCATCACACCCAGTGTCATTATTACTAGGGGCATGACTTATTGCTTTACACACATGAATTTTAATGAGAAGGTTGCTTTTGTCCATTTTTACCTTTTCAATGAAATGAACAAATCATCAAAACTAAGGATAAGCAGCAGCACGTGTTTCCAGTATATTACCGGACTCTTTTCATATTAGATCTATACACCCACGCACTGTAACATAGATCTAGTGTATTGTAGTTATCAATGTGTGTCATTATTTTCCAATTGTTTAATAATGTACATTATGTACTCATCTTTTGTGTACATACATTACTATATGCAATACAATTTACATAATGTATCTGGTTACTGGTGGATAGTACAATCATTAGAGGTGTTTGTGTTACAATTAGAAATGTTTACCAATTTTAGTTAAAATACCACATTACATTATGTTTAAAATAAACTTTTTCAATAGCAACAATTAGCAAAAATTATGGAACTCTAAATAAGCCAATGATAAGGAATTATTTCCAACAATTAGCCTCTTCACAATCTTTGCAGTTACAATTTCTAACTTAATGCACTAATCAATTTTGAATTATGGGTATTTAAATATCTGGACATCAAAGCACTTCTGGATAATTATTATTTTACATTTTAATACTTAGTGCTAGATAATACACATATGCATGTGTTCATGCATTATATGTTTTAAAATTTTAAAACAGAGCTCTCTACATTCTGAACTATACATATCTATGTCATGAACAACTCATAGCTCACATGATTCTGTTAGTTTTGGGGAAGAGTTATTTTTTCAATAAAAAACTAACTAGATCGACAAGTAATAGAAGTGCATCACTCTACAATGGCACCCTCAAGTAGTTCTATTTTACTCATAAAGCTACTATTACTACTTCAACTGAGGTCTGTACATCTATTGGGACAAGAACCACCTTCTATTCTACCCAGTAATGGTAAGAGAATAAGTATTGCTAATTACAGACTATATACGCTCATCATATTTAGGTGTTCAACTGTACCTAGCTTATGTGGACAGGGTAATACCTAATTACTCTATGATATATGCTAGCCAGTTTTATGATCAAGATCAGAATAATGATATTGAAGATATCACTGATGCTTTGTGGTGTCAGAGTGCTAACAATGGTACTAATATTGGAGTGTGGCATTATCCTAATGGAACTGAAGTACCTTTATTCCATGAACCCTTTGATAATCATACAGTTCCACAACCAGTGTTCAGTAAGAGATTCAGTGGTCAGATTGCACTAGCTAGAAGTGGTGGACTATCAGGATATGAAGGTTTATACAAGTGTATCATTCCTGATGAGAATGGAGTGAATCAAACACTAGTGGTTGGAGCATATACTGATACTGGATACAGTAAAAATAGTATGTCATGAATATAGACAATAATTAAATTAATGTACTTCTTTTACAGATGGTCCTGATGCTGATCCTACAATGCAGTTCTCTCTCCTCTCCACTAGTAGATTAGCTACTCCTCCAGTCTTCAGTCTCAGTTTCAATGTTTCTGATGGTCCTCCTACTACTGTCAGTTGTTCAGTGAATGAGAATGGAATATCTACTGAACTGTCTCAGGTGATAGTGAATGGATCAGGATCTGTTACAAGAGTGACAGTAACAGTGAGACTGAGAGAAGCTGGTAACTATCAGTGCACTGTATCTAATGCCAGAGCTGGTACTATTAAAGGTATTACAGCAGTTCCGAGCACTTCATCATTAAATATATCAGGTTTGAAATCAATTATTTTTATTATTATATGTAACTATTTAGTATCTGGTACTCCAATTGGTTTAACTGCTACAAGATTAAGTACTGGTTTAGCTCATGTAAGACTCTCCTGGTCTACTGTATCAGGAGCTACTGGTTATGAGATCTACTATCAACTGTCTAGTAATACTCCTGTTAGTGTAGGCACTACTGCTTCAACAACAATCAATATAATATCAGGATTGATTCGAGGGCTTACATACACTTTCTATTTAGTATCTTATGGATCAGCTTCTCTACCTAGTGGTAATGCTTCAGTTATGGTAGCATATAGTAAGTTATGTTTTCAGACAAAATGTTAGTAATTTTTGTGTTTAGGTGATCCAGTGGTTAGTGATTTAATGGTTACATTAATTACAAGTACTGCCATTTCCTTAACATGGAGTCCACCAACTGCTGTAGTACCAATTAGTTATAATATTAATAGAAGATGTAGGAGAGTATGTAAATCATCAGTCACTAGTAATAGTGAAACATCAGTTTCATCACCACATACTTCAACTGGTATATCTCCTTACAGTCAATGTGGCTTTGATCTTATTGGAATATATGGAGCTGAGATAGCTTATTTGATTACAAACTATTTAGCTACTACACTTTCTACTGGTAAGAAAACATTATATTAGCGTTTATTGTTATTTCTTTTTACAGCTCCTATTGCACCAGTGGGTGATATTATATTCTCATCAGTAGAGTCAATGTCAATGACTGTCTCATGGGATGAAGTACCTTGCAATGGAAGGAATGGACCAATCACTGGATACTACCTCATATACACTAACATCACTTCAAACACTAGTTATACTGTTAATATCACTGGAGGAGACAACAGAATGTATAATCTCACAGGATTAATACCATACACTAACTATACTGTGAGTATAATACCTTATAATTATAATATGAATGGACCGGCTAGACAAGAAATACAATTAATTGCTGAATCAAGTAAGTCAATGAAATGTTGATCAGTTTAACATGATTTTAACACAGTTCCTGGTGTGATATCTGATCTAAGATATGCACCACCACCAACTGAAATCATTATTGTATGGAATCCTCCTACAATACCTAATGGTATCATTACAGTATATGAGATAAGATATAGAGAGTCTACCAGTACTGGTCCATACAATACAACTAACACTACTAACACTTATTACACTATAGTAGGATTGATACCTAATACTAGTTATACTATTGGAGTGAGAGCATATACTAGTATTGGACCAGGAGAATGGACTGATAGAGAATACACTACTATTGAAATACGTAAGAAATTACTGAGAATACTATAATGATAGTGTTTTAAAACTTTTAGCTGTCATTGAAGCTTTTTCTATAACAAAGCTCAATTCTACAGCAGTGAGGGCTGAGTGGCGATTTGTTTCTGGAGCTAGTCATTATACTGTCTATTATGAGTCAACCAGTAGCTCCTCAAGAAAGAAGAGACAAGTAGAGACAGGAATGAGAGTATTCCCAGGTGGTACTACTGAAGGTTTAATAGGAGGATTAGATCCTAATCTGAACTACTTGTTCTCTATATCTACATCATTTAATGTTAATGGAATTATTTATGAAGGAGAGAGGACTCAACCAGTACCACCAGGTAGTTGAGCGAAATAATTTTAATATACACTTTGTTTACTGTCACACTAACTCCTACTGTAGTATCAAGCACTTCAATGGTATCAACTGTAAAGCAGACATTAACTGTATTGCAAACTTCAATTTTATTGCAAACATCATTTGTCTTACAGACATCAACTGTAATGGTAACTTCAGGTAAGTCACTGAACACTGGTCGTATATTAGTCTGGCCCTGCCCCTAGTTGTATATCAATCACACAATGATCATGTTACAGGTACTCCACCAGTCAATGTTACAGGAACATCAACAAGTAAGATAACACAAACCCATTATTATTAGTTTACTTACTTGCATTAGCATTGTTGACATCATCATCATCATCAGTGTCATTAAGTAAAAGCAAGAGTAGCAACACTACATCAGCTGTTCATGGTAAACAAATTTATAATGAAAAATTATGTTTATAGTTCTACTAATAGTTTGTGCTACTGTGACAACTACTGTTAATGAAGGGAATATTACTGTATGGATAGTTGGTGTAACAGTATCAGCATCACTATTGGCTGTAGCTATAATAGTGATATTAATACAGGCTATGTACATAAAAAGAACTAATATTAATCAAAAGAGGTATGTATAATGCATGCAATAATTGCTTAAAATTTGTGGTTCATAGAAAATCAGATAATGACATTGTAATGGAGTGCAGTCCAGCTTATGCTACAACTGAATTTAAAACAAAGTTAGTTACACTATTGACTATTAGATTTAAATTGTGATATTTATATATACACACATACAGTACTGCCAATGATGTATCAGTGAAGGATAGTGCAACATATGATACAGTACAACAAACACAGTCAGTTATATGAAATACAAATATATTATTATTTAAAACTATTATTAATAGATCAACTGTTGAGCCAGTGTATGATACAACTAATGATGAATGCAAGAGTTCCCTTCCACCACCTTCTACTTAATATGAAATACCAACTGTGACTGATTTATAACTTAATCAACTCTTTGCTAGTGACGTGTACAAATTATTTGTATAGTTTGTTACAAAGTTTTATACTCTTTGCTAGGTGTACCATATTGTAGTATTTTAGTTGTATTATTTTCTAGATGTGTGTGAATGCTTGCATTATTTTAATTGATAGTGCTTATTAGTTATTACCATGTAAGCATTGAACATTATTTACAAATTTTAAGTAGTAGATGCATCATAAATGCTGATATAGGTCTGCTTGAAATCAACTCAAACTTCTACATAGCACAATGTGTGTAGCAAAAATTTGGGAGTGATTTCTGAGCAATTGTTTGGAAAAAAGCATGGGCTATTATGAAGTAAATCTACCAAAAAATTGGTTCATTTTAAAATGGTCAAATTGTAATCAAATTAGCCCAAGCTTCTACATGGCATAAGGAAAGGATATCAATATGTATAAAAATGTAAAAAATCTTTCTTGCTGAAGTACCCTGTATGTTTACTATAGTACAGGGTCTTTGACCAAATTTTTGAGCAACTTAAAAATTCATTAAAAATCCAGAATTAGCTCAAAATTTCCTGTGTTACAATCACATGCATGATCTTGATTTAGGTAGTCACCTAGTGATTATCTAATTGTAAAAACTTGAGGTTCAAGGTGTGGTTGCAGCAATGGCTACTCAGCATAAGGAAACCAACCCCTTCAATGCTTTCCTGTCATTTACTCCAACTATAAAGGAGCTAACAGAGCATGTTAATGTTAGCACTAACTGGTACACACTTGGTACAATGCTTGACTTGGATCAGAAGCGATTACAAGATATTAATGGAAAAGCTGAACCTAGCACTCACAAGATGATAGAGATGTTCAATTTATGGTTGACCACTACTCCTACTGCTAGTAGGAGACAAGTACTGGAAGCATTAAGAGTAAGCGTAGTGGGGGAGATTACACTTGCTGATGAATATGAAAAGCATTTGAAAAAACTACATGAAACAACTTGTAAGTTATCACACATAATGCAGTCAGCTAAGTGCTAATGAACAATGATTTTTTAGATGTACCAGCATCTACTAAAGCAGTTTCTATTCTAAAAAGTAATATTGAATCATTAAATAAAGTTCTTGTCTCTCCTGTACAAGTGTCTCAACTGTTATATAGTAAGAGATGCATAAGTGAAGCTACTTTGGATGAAATGGAGACAATAAATCAGAGGAGATCACTGGATGACAAGAAGATGATTCTCTTGACTGCCATGCAAGAAACAGTGTCTAGCGACTATAGAAAACTTAAAGATATTACTACAGTGCTGTCTGACGTTGAAGAAACAAGAGATATAGCCAATCAAATGATTGCCAAATATGGTAAGACAATGAATATTGGTAACATATGTCATTGGTGATTGTGTAGAAGAGAAAATTCCCCAAGTTGATGATAGTACAATAGTACAGCCACAGGAGCTAGCAGGCAGTAATGAAGATCATGCTAGTGATATATTGAAAAATAATTACAGTGCTCTCTCTCAGTCAATTACTGAACCAGTTTGTATGGCAAGGTTGCTTCATGAAGAAGTTATATCTGATGAGGCTCTGTCTTGTGTCATGTCTACCAGAGGTTCTGTCTCTGACAGTAGAGCAGTTCTCCTCAAAGCTGTACGAGATGCTGTTCACTCCAATTACAAACACCTGGAGTTGTTTGTTACTGTATTAAGGAAGTTCTCAGAGACTGCTCATATTGGACATACCATTTTTGAAGAATACAGTAAGTTAAACTTTTGTTTTTCTTGAAATTTAGCTTTTGATTTAATTAGGAAAGCGTTTCAAGTATCATGATGATGATAGTGAAAAGGGTGAAGTTTATTTTGCAAAGCAAAAATCTATGCATACTTGTATGAAATAGTTAACAATCATGCCTATATATTATTATAACTTTTAATCTAACAGGTTCATCATTCGATCATCAAGAAACTGATAAACATGGTGATCATAAAATCCTTTTCCCTCGTAATATGAAGAATAAGTTTGAAGATATGAGAATGAAGTTTGGTTCCACATTTTTTAAAGTTCGACGTATTTTTACGAAAATGAAAAGTGTAGTGAATGTTGATGAAGTGAAGGAACTAATTATTATCTGGTTTCCTGATTTGAGGTCTCAACTTCCTGATAAAAAAACAATTGAAGAAGTGCTAAATGTACTAAAGAGAAAGTGCAATATCTTTAATATACGTCCCCTTGAAAACTTAGCTTTTGAATTCAATGTAGAAGATGCTAAACCAGTCATTAAGTCTTACAAAGAGGAAGCTAAGGATTTCTGCAAGTCAGTATCAGTGAGTCTTTGCCTTGGTGAGGAGCTACAAGCAGTTGCTACTCCGTCCCGCCTATTATGTGAAACCATTGTATTCGTGTTCAACTGGGATCCTGATGAATATACACTGCAAGATATCAATGATATGTTTTTTGAGTTAGAGCCGCTAAATAAGTGCCGCATACAAATTGATAATGTTGGTCCTAGTCAATCAGTAGTAGTGAACTGCTACTGTCCTGCTGAATTCACTGGCTCATTGATATTGACCATCCTTGGTAAGACAGATACATTACAAAGGAAAGGATTGAAGGAATTTATGGTCGGCAACTGTACTATATGGCACACTACTCAGGTTAGATTTGCATATAATGATTTTAACATTTTTATTATTTTAATACACAATGTATACAGGTACTGAGTGAAAGTACAGAAGGGGCAGACTTCCTAGTACAAATTAATGATTTGAAAGCTGCATTAAAAGCTAAAGATGAATGGATAATGGGTAAGAGATATCTGTGTATATCCTTAATTTGATATACATGATAGCTACTGAAGCAGAGGTAGCAGCATTGAAGAAGTTATCAGAGAACAGATTAAAAGAAATAGGAGCATTAAAAAAACATCTTGAAGAGAGTCACTGCATTAATGGTATGATTTGTACTATCATGTACATGTACTAGTCAATCATTACTGTAGTTCAAAAGGAAGAAGTGATGAACGAATTGAAGGAGGAAATTTTAGTATTAAGAAAGGAAATTATAGAAAAGGAAAATCTATTGAATCAGTTATTAGAAGGTAATAATGCATTTGATTTCAAATGTCATTAAAATAAGCTTATTGTTTACCATAATAATTATGCAACTTAATTCTAACAGATACTGAGAAAGAGTTAGCATCATGGAAGGAATTGTCAGACAATAGACTGCAAGAAATAGAACGATTGCAACTGATATTTGAAGACAATAACAGTATGTTAAATGCACCATCAATGGCCATTTGTAATCTTCTTCTGTATTAATGTGTTTATAAAGCATGTTATGCCACACCATTAACCATTTTACAGTGCATGAATAGTTACATTAACTGACTGGTTTTGCATTTATTATGATTATTTATAGTAGCACAAGAGCATGGAAAGGTGGAGAATATTGTGCATCTTAGTAATCCATCAGTAGAGCAATGTAAGGATGTAAACAGTAAACTGAATGAGGAACATAAAATGATTATACTTGATGACTCATCATCTGACAGTGCACAGTTCCTAATACCAAGAATATTAGAGAAAAGAATAATTACTCTTTATATATCATCATCAGCCCTAACACGTAATGATGTCCTCTCATTTTCTTCTCAACTATCAACTAACCAATCGTTAACAACTTTAGCCCTATTTAACAATTCAATCAGTGATGATGGCTACGGCACTAGCACAGTCACTACAATATAATAAATCACTTCAATACTTATATCTTCAAAATAACCCTGTCACTTCAGCCTGTGCTCAGTCACTGGCTGAACTTTTGCTCATAAACAACACACTCTGCTACATTCACCTCCACTGTACTGATATTGATACTGATGGGGTATTGATGCTCATGAAATCACTCAAGACCAATAATACACTAAGAGAACTCTGGCTAGACAAGCAACATGAAGAGACTTGCTCTGCTTTACCATATCATAAGCTTATTAGAAACAGAATCATCTTTTTGTAGACAGTAGCTTTAATTTTAATGATTAAT